CCGCCCCTGCTGATTAGGGTTTAGTAAGAAAAAGAAACAGTGCAACCAAGTAGGTAGGGTTTCTCTCTCTTTCGATCCTCTTCACAGTGCCACACGACCTTCGAATTAGCAATGGGTACGATTCAAATTATCGTTGTCTTTGCTTCTACGATTCTATTTCATTCGATACGGTTACGATTTCTCTTATGTACTTATATTCTAATTTGTTTTGTGCAATGCAAAAGCGAGAATCAAGGTGTACGAGCTGAGGAACAAAACAAAAATAGAGCTTCTAAACCAATTGAAGGATATCAAAGTAGAACTCGCTCTCCTCCGCGTTGCTAAGTTCATTCAAATCCCTAATTCCTAATTCAATTCAAATTGATACGAATTTAAATGCATTTGTTGTGTGAATGCAGTAAAGTGGTTATATTGCCCAGTTCGACGTCAAACCTTTCGTTGACCCCAATTGTCCCTTCTCCTGACCAATTAAATGTCGAACCGTTGCCTAGTTCAATGTCAAACCCTTTCGTTGATAGCACTATAACTAATGCTTCTAACTTCCCGCGTCTCCTGACTAGTTAGACGTCGAACCATTGCATTTCATCTGGGAAACTTACTAAAACTCATACTTACTTTTCTTATACATAAAGATCTTACTTTCTTAGTGACTTAATGGTCAAAGAGTCTTTTATAAGTGGATCTTCTCTCATTTTTCAAACTGCAAGAGCACACATCTAGGTTTCACCGATCCTGCCACCTGTTAGAAGGTTGCATTCTGAAATTCGATAAGAATAGTGAAATTATTTTAAATTAAGATGTAGTTATTTGAAGTTAATATAAATTACAATGTGAGTAATTTGTTTATATATATATATATATATATATATATATATATTTATTTATTTATTATTGAAAATAATTTAAATTAAATTGTCCACCATGAAAATTGATAATGACATATTTTATGCGATGTTCAAATAACAAAATATTACAATAAATATGAAGTAGGTAGTCATATTATTGTTGCATCAAGTGAAATTAAGTTCGTTCAATTTTAGACTTATTTAATTGTTAGATGTTAGAGTGCAAATTCCTATAATCTATTACTCTTTTGCAAAAGAAAACTGATATAAGAAAATGGTATATTGCAAAAAGGATGAAGTATTATTGTAATTTAAGATATGATGATGTGATTTTCTCTTTTATTCTCTTTACTCGTGTAAGTATCCAAAGGAGCTCAATCCCTCAGATCTATCTTCTCAAATCACTCAAAATCACTTCATTCTAACAACCTTGGCATAACATTTATTTCCTCTACTACACTAAATAATCTCAAACAAACCCAACATAAATATTTATCTCTTTAGATCATCTATGAAACACTGAAACACTGAAACACTAGATCTTTACATAATGTAATTATAGACTTATCATAAAATATTTTTTTTCGAAGTATCTTATTTCTACATCTCCTAGCCAATTCACTATCGGTACAACCAACAAGTTTTACTTTGCTATTAGAAAATTGTTAAATTACTCACGCATTTTTATCAATTGAAAAATATGTGTTAATAAAAAAAATCACCCAAATTTTATTAACATATTTTAAAATTTTAATTATCGATTAAAATATTTATCGTTAATGGATTCATCGATAATAAAAAAAATTAAAATTTGACGATAAAACCATCGATAATTGATTTCTTTCCTAACATAATTAGTAATTGCATTTTTAAAAAAATAATGTTAGTAATTTAGTCAATAAAATAGGCTTTCATTTTTTCATCAAATTCAACAAAAAATTATTGTAAATTAATTGTAGATGGGTGAGAATAAGAATAGAGGAGGAGGAGAAGGAGAAGAAGAATGAAAGTGAGAATGAGAAGGACAAAAAGGAGAAGAAAGAGGAAGAGGAGGTAGAGGCAGGACAACAAATGACGAAGGTAACAAAGTCAAAGTAAGAGGACAAGGAAAAAGAGTTAGAGGAGTCGACAATGGAAAAAGAAGAAAAAAAGAAGAATAGAATTTAGAGATTTACTGACAATCAATATTCGTCAATAATTATTAACGAATATTTATCGACGAATAATTATGATGTGTTTTGGTTTTTGCTAATTATCGATATATAATGACCATAAATAATTATTGATAGATTATGGTTATCGATAATTATCAGTAAAAAAAACTTATCTGTAAAATTGATCGCTGAACATTTTATTGGTAGATATTTAATCGTCGATAATTCGTCAATAATTTTGATTTTCCAACGAAGTTTTGCAATTACAAACAAATTTTGTGATTACCAACGAATTTTGCCCATTTGTAAGTTTAATTTATTTTTTTGTAATTTTTCTAGCATAAAAAACTCTATCAATCAAAATGTCTTTAGTGTAACATATGATTCTTTTAATGCCTTGCAAATGACATATACATGACTCTTGCCAAAATATACTGGGCAATCATAGTCCAACCTTGTTGCAATATGTGACTTTTAATCAAAGTTTGGTAGTAAGTTAGGTCTCTTTTCTTATCATCTATTATTCTTGTCAATTTGAATATTTCTTTAACTAGTATATATACCTGATTTTGAATTCTATATTATAAAGTATTTTAGAATATCAATAGCACATTTCTTTTGAGATATGAAAGTTTGATGATTCTATTAGTGACCTTACGCCTAAAAAATAACATGTTGAGCCTTTATCATTTCAAAAATGCTTTCTCATAGCCTCTTTGGACTTTGCAATCATCTTTAGATTGTTGTACTATAAGAAATTAGTTAGTTTTCTACCAATAACTATAATAAATAACATCACATATATTTTCTTACACAATGAAGGAGAAAGATTGAAAATTATCAATAAAATTGACCGTTAGCTACATTTATTACTTAAGTTCCTATGAGAATTCATGTCGGAGAAGTGCAGCGGAATGATTAGCGTGTACAACAAACCAAGAGGAGGTGAATTAGATTCTTATCGCAAATCGTGCCTTTAAATATTTTCTCTTTTAAATTAAGTTCCTTAACGATAAATTAAAACAAAATAAGAGATTAAGGAAGAAAGAAAATTGCACATGTGATTTTTATATTGGTTCAGATCAGACAGATCGTACGTCTAGTTGTTAATCTCAAATGAGAATTAACACTTCACTATCACAAACTAACAAACTATTACAATCACAAAGAAAATAACCAAGTTTGAGGTTATAACACCTCTCTTGTTACCACAGGACATGAAACTCACTTTCTCTGAAACCCACAAGGGATGAACACCTCATCCGAATGCTTCACGAAGGATGAACACCTCCTTTGAATATTGACAAAGGATAACAGACTTTAACTCAGCAACAACAACAACACTTAATCACAACTCCCATGAAAGTTATTGATTTATGCCAACACTAAGTTCTCAAAACCACAAGCACAAGGATTATACAAATCCTAGAACACACAGCACACAACAAAACAAATAAGCTTTTTGAAATTCAAGTATTTTGTATTTCATATATTAGAATGATAGTGCCAATCCAATTTATAGAGATCTTACTCATGGATACCTCCAAAAGCCCGTTGTCATCTATTTAATGCATGATAATGGATTATCTAAATGAGGTAATCAATTATGCATTTAATGAATGTACAACGGTAAAAAATTTGCTTGAAAATTTTCATAATTGCTCGTGAAAATCGATTATAACAAGTCATAATCGATTATTGATAATCGTTTATCATTAGTTGGTACGTAATTGATTATCCTGAGTGAAAATGAGGTTTTCTTATTCAAAACAAATTTTAACGCAACTAAAGGCAAAATAAATACATGGAATCAGAGATAAAACAAAACCTATACATCATTCTACTAAATTGAAAAGGCTTTAACATAAAAATACGTCTTCACGAAGATCTTCTTGCAACAAGAGCACTCGATACTTGACTTTGAGATATCAAAACTTCTAAGATTCATCTTTATGCTAACAATTCATACCATGTGTACCAAGTTTAAGTCTTAAGATTCTTAAGTTTACACCAAATTTTGGAAATACTTCATCAATTTTCTTGTATTGTGGAGAATCACTTGAATGTTGAAGAAGTTTGTCACATTTTCTTCCATATGCATGTCATGTCATGTTCTTTGCATCTTCTTTAATGAAAAATAATTGTTTCAACTTAGGTATTATGGATAAGTATCACAACACCTTAGCAAAGGACCAATTGATTCTTCATCAACACTATTTTCATCAATTTTCTTTTTAAATTGTGATAACTCACGCTGGATACACTTTTGATGCAATAAACTTTTCTCTTTATAATAAATAAATATTACGGCATGCACGCATCTTTTTGTATTCTAAATCCATTAAACATTTTTTTGTCTAGTAGTTACGATTATAACGTGTTATTTTCTATAAGTATCTTTTTTAACTGTTCCTATAATTTTGTGAAACTTTATCAATTCATCAATTTCTTGTTTTTAAAATAAATAATTTTGAGATTTTCAAAAATTATGTTATAACTTTAAAAAATCTTTACAAATCGTGTAAACTTACATTAGTACAGGAATACAATTTTTACTCTGAATCAAATTTTAAAATATCATATAAATGAGTTTTTCTAAAATTCTCACCACTAACATAACTTATTGAAAAGATGTTAAAATAACAACCAATTGTAACAAATATACTAGATACATAATAAATATTAAAAATATAAATAAAATAAGAAAGAAAAAAAATTAAGAAAGTTCTCATTTTCACTTAAAAAAAATAGAGATTGTTTTTCTAGGAGATCATTGGAGCTCCATATTTAAAATAAATGAAAGATGTAATATATTAGAAAAAAAGACTCACAAGAGTTCTAAATTTAAAATGTTGTGACGATTTTACATAAATTAATTCACGATTCACGATTCATTAATATTAAATTATATTATTATATTGCATCTTAAAAAGCTTGATCATTAACCCCTAAAAAGTAAAAATATTGGATGAATAAGTTACTCTTAGGAGAGCAATCAATCTGTAGAATTTACTCTGACACGTAATATTAATTCTTTTCTAAGGAGATACAATTTAACCTCAGATTCTACTTTAATTGCCTCCTACCCCAACCACCAGTTTATGCATTGTGGCGTTCTGATACATTATTTATTTATAGAACAAATCCTCCAATTCTATCTTCAAAAGTTCAAGGCCAGAGCATCGTTGAAATCACAGCAATTTAGGGAGAAGTATTGCTTCTAAAAATTAAGAGATGATTAGCATTCTGGTAAAAGGATAGAAAATGTCAAAGAAAAACAAGCAGAATGTACAATTACATATTTAACAACTCTATTTGTACACATGCCAAATTTCACAAACTCTCTGCTATGCATCACATAACAAGGCCTACATGCCTGTTGTACTATGCTTTAAGGAGAAAATATATTCAGAAAAGACACTCTAGTATGAATCAACCGCTTAAACAAGCACTCCAATCCATATTCAATTCCTTCAATGGCAACCACCAAAGCTTCTAACCTTCCATGTGCAGATTGAATCTTCTCAGCCTCAGCATCTCTGCTCAGATTGTCCACAATCAAATCCACCTTTTCCAATTCATTTATATTTTCCTCGTGATTGTTGTAAGCAAACACCCCCTTCTGCATCAACCTTGACACAAACGCCCACTTATTAGCCTTTAGTTTCAAGATTGGTGAAGAAAGGAACACAACAAGAGTCTGAAAGATGGAGCTAGTGGTCCAGCTAGCTTCTCTTAGCACTCTTACCACTGCAGAAAGGTGGTCATTAAGATCCAACGGAAGAGAGGCCCCAGATAACTCATGATCCATCTGCTTCAACAAAAGCAGAGATTTTGTGCACTCCTTCCTCATGTTCCTTCTGAGCCTCCAATATGTAGAAAGATGATTATCCATGTCAAAATCACCAACCCTTCTTCTGATTGCAGACTGAAGTTCCTCAATACTTCCTTTCATTAACAGAATGGCATCCCTTGTTATGCCCAATAGGTCCAAGAATCTCACTGGGCAATCCAGCATCTCATTGACCCATTTCTCGTTTTGGTGTTGCCCCAGTGCTTGTTGGGTCAATGGCAATCTCAAAAGATCTTCAATGCACTTGTACAATTCTGAAAGGCCAGATAGACCAGAGCAAATTGTTTCCACCTTTGGTGTAGAAGATGATGATGCCTCTAATGATTTAAGCTTGCTCAGCTCCTCTTCACTTCTAGCTGTGCTTGGATGTGATCTTGTTGGCAAACTAATGGATCTAACACCATACTTGCTGCTAGAATGCTTTGGAGAAAACGTAGCAATACTTGCCCTTTTCATCTTAAAGGGTGCCTAATATGAAAACTAGACTCAATGGTATGTATAATACACCCCTATGTATACCTCTAGACATTAGAAAGCAGAGAGAGAAGTCCACAAGTTTATAATAGACCCTGATGCCATTCGATACAAAAATGGATTCCCTAAGGTTCTATGCAGTGTTTGGTTTTTCTGTGACGTAGTTCTGCTGTCACGTTTTCATCATCAAACCGAAGTAGTAGCCATCCATATGTTAAATGAATCACCTTTATAATTATATCACATGGGAAAGGCAACTCCCACCTTCCCATTAGTCTAATTCGAATCTCCACAAGTTATTTTCCTTGGGGTGAGTAATTTTTTCTAACATGGTTTTTCATTATTTAGGAATTATAGTAGAATTGGTTATAATATATAATTAACCAATTTTAAAGAAAATTGGTTTGTAAGATGGAATTTGTATTTATTCATATATTTTAAATTTATCTTATTCAGATTTCAAACACTATGAATAATGGACACTATGAATAATGGTATGCATTAAATTTATTACTTTTTTATTAAAAATAAAGAAACACTACCACGTTCGGGAAAACAAAAATAACACATGGGATAGGTATGTTTCTCATAATTGGGTGGGTCTTGTGTGAAGAAGAGACGAAAAGGACCAAACCGTCTGCTTGAGTCTCTGTATCTTGAATGAATCTAAGAAAAAGCCACCGCCAATGGCACGGTACATATACTTTTATTATGTTCATGAAGGTCGGTTACATTTAAAGCTTCTCATCCAAAGTTCCTTGAACCTTAACTCACGTAACTAAAATGGCAAAAAAATATCATTTTCACCGGCAGAACTCGTACGTTGTCACCACAATGTTCCTTCTACGGATTAGGACCTGCCAAAGTTTGAATTCGGTGTATTACTTTAGCATTCTGTATTTTGCATTATTGTTCTTATGTGTAAGGAATAGTCTCTTTCAAAAGATCATACACAATAGATATTTTGGACGAATGAATTGAATCAATTACTATAAAAAGCTTTGTTCTATAACTTTATTTATCTTAAATATTATGAGGGTAGCATAATTAGTACTTTAATATGGTACACGTTGCTACCGGGTTCTAATCTTCCAAACCCTGCCGGCCTTAAACCTAATATTTCTGTTTTAAGTGATTTTAAAAAATTAATTGCCGTCCAACTGGATGTGGCAACAAGATTTTCGAACATATTTGATAAACTAATTTCATGTTTAAATTATAGTTTGTTGATTATGATTTTGTTTGACGCATAATATCATAAACTCCAAGTTACATTAAAACATGTATGATCAAATCATAAATTTGATAGACTTACTTGTGGGTGAATTTCAACTTACAATGAGATGGAAAAGTAAGATATGTAAGAGTGAATTAGGATGATGGGTGAAAATCAAGAAATCACAATATTGATTTGTTGTACAAATCACGATTTCTTTTGATTCCAGATTCTTTTCTTGCTTCCCAAAGATATGGCTGAACTATACAACTTTTGACCTTAGACAATGACTTTTTTATGGTTTTGTGGTCCACATTGTTATTATTTAATTCAAGGGATGTTTTATATTACTTCATGAAAAGAAAGAAACCGAAATGAAAGGCGTGCCTTGGAACACATTAGGTCAATTTCGAAGATAACAACAAACGTAGCATAAATCCTAGAATTTATTTAGAGAAAGGAAGGAATGGTACGTATTATGTGACTTTGTTTTCTTTTGTTTTGAGGGTTTTCTTTTATTATTTGTGGTGACTTTAATTCATTTTTAAATACAGTGTAAACACATTATAAATATATTTTGACATGGTGCCTGATTCTAAATATCTATCACCCAAAAACATGGTCAATTTTTTTAATTGAAGACTTCGAGAATGACCTTTTTATGATGATTTAGGCTAGGCTTGAGTTCATATTTATTACATTAAGCATTATTTAATCTAAAGGCGTGCTTTAAATTAAAAAAGAAAAGAACAAATTTGAAACCTATTATGTCTTTGCTTCTGTAACTCTGGACAGTTTCATAATTTCAGTTGAACTTTTGGGATAGAGACATAAATTATACTTAGCAAGTCCACCCACCAAAAATTTTAAAAATAAAGAAAAATTATATTATATTTTATTATTTTATAAAATTAGTTAAATAAAAAATTTCATTAAAAGAGATAAAATATACATAACTTCTTTTATTATATTTTTTTTTTGAAAATTTTTAACCAAAGTCGTTATAAGATAAAACGACTTCCTCTAAATAAAAAGACATTGAAATCGTCATGTTTTCACGACTTTACTTTTACTATCTATGTTGAAGTTGTGTGTTACTTACACGATTTTGATTAAGTTAATTGTTGGATATTTTAATTTACATAAAAACCATGATGTGCTTCTACAACTTTATCAATAGTCAAAAGTTGTTTATGAAGTTGATAATTTTTTTACAATGATGTTGTGCATGTGTATGATTTGATCTGCAGGTAATTTTTTTTTTTAAATAAACCTAGATGTGTAATTTTGAAATGTAATTTATTTCGTTTAGTAAAAAAAAACTCTAGCAAGATAGGTGGAAAAATAATTCAACTTTATTTTTTACATATTGACAAACCAAACATAACTTAGTGTAACCCGTAAAAAAATATTAAGAGATAAATGAGAATTTATTCAATTACTTTAATTTACTCGTGATATTAGTCAATCTTACGGCTTAAATAAATTCATTCACACCTTCAATCGCTGATAAAAAATATTCACACCCTCTATCACATAAATATAAAACGATAAAAAATCTGCAAAGAAGAGTTAAATAGATAAGAAAGAATAATAGACAACAAACACAAATAAAATATGCAAAGAAGAGTTAGATGGATAAAAAAGAACAATAGAAAATATATAAATAATTAATGAAAATTTATGTTCATAAGACTTAGGTTTAAATTTTTCTTTCAATAAATTTTCTCTTAACTAACAATTTTTTATTATACAGTTACAACTTTCACTTAGACAAACTGTTAATACAATGTTTTATTTATAAAAAAATAACTATCAAACGTAAATCATGTTTAAACTAGTGAAGTGACATGACGAGTACTTTTATTATCGAGCTCGAAATGTTATGTAGACGAAGTTTCTAATAACAAACAAAGAAAGTTATAAATTGATAAATAGATTATCTGATACTATTAGATTCTCGGAAGATAGATGCATTGATGAAGACAAGAACCGATCAAAACAGACAATTTTGAGCCACCAGACGATTTTGATCTATCAAACGCTCTAACCATCAAAAGGTCTAGAATCTCGATAAGATTGTACTACCAAATATTCAAAAAATCTGATTGGGTATTATAAGAAAACAAAAGGTGTTAATTTTGTCATCACCAAAATTACGTTAAAGGTGAAATTAGAACATTTGTAACTGTTAAAGGTGGAAAATTACAAAATATGAAAATTGGAACATTTTTCTTCTAACATTTGTAACTGTGATTGACTAAAATTACAAAAAACGAAATTTGGAACATCTTTCTTCTAACATTTGTAACTGTTAAAGGTGAAAAATTTTTATACGAACTTTCTAGCTTTTGCAATCATATGTATCATCTCGACAAATCTTATGTATGACGATAAATAAAGACACAATTATATACAATTATATTGTTAATCTTACAGTTTGAATAAGTTGGTTAGGAAGTAATTGACACATTGTGTCAAACTTCAACAAAAAGTTGAAAAAATGGAAAGTTTAAAAGTTAAGTCATCAATAGTTTAAAAGTTGATAAGTAGAGACAGCGGTTAAAATAATTAAATGATGATTAATTAAGGATAACAACCATTGATGAACAATTAAGAAAAATAATGACAACTATTAATGGACAATTAACATGTTTTGATTTTGTCGTTGTGAGATTTATAAATATAGGTATATTGTCGAGGTAATTGATATGTTTTTAACCAATAATTTGATTTGAGCGTAATCGCTTAAAACAACCATCTAACTTAAACGTCGAAGTATTTTCTGTAAGTCAACTCCGAACTCATCCATTGACTTCGAGAGAGGGACTAATAGTGAGAGTTCAAGACTTAACATCATAGCAAAGTCAATAAAGTCAATCCTTGACAAAAATTTTATATATTTCTTATAAATGCTTGTGCACATAATTTCACGAAATTTTATAAAGTAATTTATTTTTTTATTTCAAGGCCATCGGGTTAAGCAATCCACTTCAAGCTAAATTAAATGTAATGAATTGAAAGTTTCAAAAAGTCATTTTTGCTTATATCATGATACAGTGAATTCATGTATATGACAAAGGCACGAGGAATAAGTAATTGACAACAAATTTTGCAAAGTATATAAACACTATTTTAAGGGGAGAAAGAATTTTTATTATCGTTTACATCATCAAAACATCACTTAAAAAAAACACATTTGTGAATTATTAAATGGGACGCCAAAGTAGAATGTAGAACCGGTAATGAGTACCTTAAAGGAATTACTATCTTAGTGAGTCCAAGTGAACATGTGTTGCATGAAAAGATACAATAAAAAAAATGAGTTTGATGTTAAATTATTGGTCAAAATGAAATTAAATTACCGATGAGGAGATTGTAGAGATTTTCAAACACTTCAACAATTAAGAAAGTCAATGGTTAATACTAGGTGATACTTGTTAAAGGTCACATGTGTTGTAAGGTCATATGATAATTGTTAATACAACGGAAAATTGATTTAGAAGGTACCATAATTTTTTAATTTGATTTTTCTTTTTTAATTTATAAGAATCTTAAAAAATACTATTTTAGGATTGATATTGTTTTTAAAATACTAACACTCGACTATTTTCATAATAAAACATTTTACTATAAATAATTTGGTTATAAACGAGTTTTATTATTTTAAAACACATAATCTCTTTAGAAATTATTTTTCTAGAAGTTTTCATTTTCTCTCTTGTTCTTACTCAGTATTTATCTATATGAAGATTTGAGACGGCTAGAGTAATATTCTTTGCGAGCTCTTTCCATCTCTCGAATCAATTTTTCCATTTAAGTAAAGTAGGTTTTCTACTCTTTTCTTGGTCAAATTATGTTTTCTCTTTGCATGTGAGTTTCTTCCACTTGCATGTAACCTTAGAGTCATCAATGTGAATCTCTACTGATGAGTGATACGACAATATGATCTTATTATCCTTGTGATGTTTCTATAAGCATAACTTGAAGTTGAATAAGTTTTGGTGTTTGAGATCTTTTTGAGTAGTT